ACTGAATCAAATTTCCCCATAAGGTCAACATTAAACGTAACCGTTGAATTTCATGCAGTTTTTATCCAGTTTGATTTGCAACCAGAATTGCGGAAAGAACTAAGTTGTGAACTGAGGTTCCACTGTATATTATATGTATTTATACATACATAATTTATTATAGAAGTTGTATGTATTTGTAACTCCTCCTTCTTCAGGAAGAACTCCAACTCCCAAATCAGCACATTCGTTCATTTGTTTAGTCCTGTATCACATATAAAATACTTCCAGGATTGCTTCAACCAACTACGAGAAAGAAAGTCAGGATTTGTTTGCTGTTCACCCCCTTCATCCCAAAGCTAGAATGCGTAATCAAATACTGTGTTCACAAACCTATGGGACTGAGGTCTTTTTCTTCTCTATGTAGTATGGTTATACCATTCTACAAAAACATTGGGATTAATTTGTTTGAGCTTGTCTTTTACCTTTTTATTTTTTGATATTTAGAAATTTAACATAGGAGTGGTCAGAAGATACAGTGAATGTTTAAAATAAAAAATTCATTACAGTGAAAGTCACATTGCAAGGGGGAGAGTATTTTCAGAAGAATTCATAGCAATAGGTCTTTTCCTTTAATAAATTTTTAAAATTTAATCATTCATTATATTTTTTGACCACCATGTGTTGATCAAACATTTAAGTCCATTTCAATCAAATAAAAATGTTACAGTGTGTCCTCATCCACCTTATTCACTGGTTCTGTTACCCTGTGATTTCTCGCTGTTTCCCACAGTCAAAATGACCATGGAAGATAAACATTCTCAATGTATTCAGGACATCAAGGCAGCAGTGACAGCACAACTGCAGACAAGAATGGTGGGATAGGTGTGTTTGAAGCGAGGGGCAGTATTTTGGAGAAGGATTAATGGCAGCTTGTTTTTTACCGTAACAAATTGTTTTTAAATTTCACTCATTCCCCCTATTTCCAAAGCTAAGTCTGTGTAAAATAAGGTGTATTCAGAAAGTGTCACTTCCTCTTGTATCTCTCTCACCCCATCTCTCCTCCACCCCCTGTATATAATTTCCTTTTTTTCTTGGCTTATCCATCCTTGTATTTCTTTTTGTAATGACAAACAGATATGACAGTTTCCCCCTTAATTCTTATATGGGATATTCTCTTGTACTTTGCTTTTTCACTTAATATGTCTTAGAACTCATAACAGCTTATAAATTTTTTTCTTAATCATTTTTACAGGTCCATAGTACTCCATTGTATGTATCCTAATTTATTTACTCACTTAGGTTTAGGCATTTAGGTAGTTTCATTATTTTACAGTTACCAAGCAGTGCTTCGGTGAGTGACCTGATGCATGTGTTTGCATATTGTTGGAGGTATTATAGGTGTTACCTTTGAGTAAATTTTGGTAAGTAGAGTTGCTGAGTCAAAGGGAATATACATATGTACATTGTCTTGCTGAGTATTATTTGGCCACTATTTTTGAGGAACTTGGAACTTGAAGAAGCAAACAAATATTCATGTAACAAATCCTCCTGTAGATGTAGCAATTTAGAGGTTAAAATGTTTTCAGTTATTTAAACTCTGAAGTGTAAGGTTTCTAAGCCTCACTCCAAAGAGGGGAAAGATACATTTTATCTAGAGTCATCCTGGAGGATGAATTCAGGTGATATTTTCTTGACTTCCTATTTGAAAGTCCCATTTGTAAGCTTACAAGGAATCTTTTCTTCCTGATATTTGTCTTTATCAGAAGAGCTCCAGGAAGAATTTTTGGAATTCAAAATTGACTCTGTTGCCAAAGGTAACCTCCAGAAAATCACTTTGAAGATTTCCCAGGTAGAGTATCTTCTTGTTTTTCCCCAACTAAGTGAGCAGGTTTCAGCAGGCATTTTCCAATTTTACTGATATACTTGAGAAGGTGTCCTTTCTACCTCACCAGCCCCCAGCCTCTGGCTAAGAAAGTACACAGGCTTGACTTTGGAGTGCCTTACCATATCTCTTCCTTATTTTCATCATTTTATGTATTTCTGAAAATGCACATACATTTCACATTAAACTGTCTTATTTTGAAGAAGTTGTATTCCCTATTTATAATTTAGGCTTAGTTTAGCTTTGAGTAGGATGTTATACAGTGAAGCATATGTTTCTAGCATTCGTTCAATATGAACAAATATTTAAATGAGTAAATATGAAGAGACAAAGTTTTCTAATGTAATAAAGTTGCACTTAGCAAATAGAAGAAGCTAATTTCAAATGTTGAGAAGGACCTAAGGTATTATAAAAGAGTCATTGGGCCTCTGAGCATATGATTTTAATGGTGACTTGGAATGTTATCACCTTCTTTAAATGTGCATTAAAAAATAAGCACAAGCACAAACCTTATTTTGCTGAGAGCCATAAAAATATAAACTGGATTTGTGATTTTTTTTATATATTTGAGTCATTAGAATGTCTTTTGTTGCTGATTCTCTTAATTGTTATTTTGAGATTCAAATAACATTAAATTTTAATTTAAATTTTATGTTTATAAGCCGGGCGTGGTGGCACATGCCTGTAATCCCTGTACTCGGGAGGCTGAGGCAGGAGGATCGCTGCGAGTTCGAGGCCAGCCTGAGCTACAAAGTGAGTTCAAGACCAGCCTGAACTCTGTCTCAAAAAGAACAAAAAAAATATGTTTATCAAAGGGAGGCTGGGGTTTTAGTAATGTGCTGCCAAAGTGAGCACAAGGGGCTGGAGTTTTAAAAATAAAAAATATGTGATATGGAAAAAACCAACACTGTGACTTAGGTGAGCTGAGCATTGTCCTCTGCTCTGCTGCTGACCTCAGGACCTTTGCTGCTTTTAAACATCAGTTTCTTCATCTGGAATATGAGGATTATTTTCTGTGGCTTCCTTGTAGGGCTGAGGTTTAACAGCTCAATTGCAGTGTATAAGTCACTTTGTAGAATATAGTTGCTATACACCATTCTTAATGAGAAACCATGTAACATGAGATAAGTAGTCCAGTCAAAATTGAATGTTTTTTGCGACATTTTACCTGAGTTTTCTCTTTTTTAACCATATGAAGGAGAAGACTTTTTCCTTTTTTTTTTACCCTATTAAACTCCAAATCTCTAAAACAGCAGGATCTCCTTGAGTTTCACTTCCTTGGGTTGGACTAGAATAGTTTTCATTGTGGACTTTCCCAGTAGGTTGGTAGACGGCCAAATCTTCAGCCTGTAGTATCAAAGATAGACTGGTTTTGTGCTGGCCTTGTCGAGGGTGAAAGTATCTGAGAGAAACGGCTGATTCATTGGTCACTGGTATGTATTCTGGACCTCCCTTTGCCAGGTCCAGAATAAACAAGGCCATCCCGTTGCCTTCTTTTCTCACCCGCTGTCTACCAGCTCACCTCATGGGAAGTACCAGTAATGTTGGTTCTTTCCTGTCATCCTTTGAGATACAATGCTTCTGTTTCTGGGGGGCCTTTCAGAGCATTCTCACCCTTGAGCCCTCATTGGTTGTACCTAGGATACTTCATCAGTGTGTCTCACCTGCACTTGCCATCCTGGCCCTTTTCCCACATGGTGAAGTCTAGATTCTCTGACTTTGTATACCCTCAGGTTCTCCTTCCAACTCTGTCACAGAGTGCTTCTCTGCACTTGTGCTGTCGTCTGGCCACACATCTTTTAGGAACTGTCTGTGGTGCTTCTTTCCCCAGAGCCATGTTGAGTAGAGCACAGTCTCCGCCTGGGTTCAGATTCTTTCTCCACTGTTTCCTAGCTTTGTTACTCTAGAAATCTAACTAACTTCATTGTGCCTCAGATTCCTCACAATAAATGAGAATAAAGATAGTCTGCTTTATAGTGCTGTTGGAGTCATCAAAGGGATACTTCATGTAAAGGACTTAGAACTGGGCCTGCCTGGATATTTTAAGTGTAATATTTTATGTGTATTAGCTGCAATCTCTATTATTACTGTTACTACTATTTCTGACATCTATTAAAATTCTTTGTATATCTCTGCTTAAGTAGTTTTTCTAAGTCTTCCCAACTTCCAATAATCTTACCCATTCATTAATTTACCCATGTACCTATTGCTTAAATTTTTTAAAGACTTGAAGTATTGAGTGCCTTGTTGTGTACAAGGCATAACTACTCAAGAGAAATACAAAACAAATTAAACTTGATTATATGCCCTCTAGGAACTTAGAGTCTGGCAAGACAAATCAGAGAAGTATAAAATATTCATCTATTCTGCAAATGTTTTTTGAACAGCTGCAGAGGATCCAGGCACTGAATGTAGTTAGCCAAGCATCTGAGCCTCGTGTCATGGTTAATGAGTGACTTAAGTAAAAAATCAGAGTTTGAATACCATATTAATAAGCAAACTACAGTTGAGGTGTCTGATGAGTGTGGAAAAACAGAGTTTACCATCTAGAAAGATCAGGCAAGGCCTTTTAGAGAAGAAGGTTCCCGTCTTGGCAGGGCCTGACAGGATGATCGGATTTTTCTCATCTCTGCATCACTGAGGAAGCATTCATGGTCTGCCTTATGCTGTGGCTATAGATGAACTGTAGGATTTTTATAACTGTAAGCTCCTCAAGAGTAGATAATTTTCTCTTCATTGTAGAGTTGCTAGTCATTACTCCAGGTTTTATAAGTAGATTGTACAATAGGGGAACATAATAGATCAGGAAGATGTCTTTTCCTGTATAAGTTATAGGGACATTATATTTGCATAAACGGAAAGTGAGGTTTTTGGAGACATTCATGTCATTTCTTATCACATTAATTGTAGCCATAGTAGTCATTATAGAAATGTAATAAAATAAATTCTGTATCAGTCCATGTAGATAGTTCTTCCTATATTTCTATACATTTCTGGGAAGAAACTCTTACAGGGTCCCCCATTAAATCCTGCTGTCAACCTAGAATTCCAAAATGTGATTTCATGACTCTGATCATTTGAGAATCTTAGTTTTCAAAACTTCCCAACAGTTTTAATTCTGAATTTCTCCTTGTAGCAAGGAGCAAGGACCAACACCAGTGGAGAGAAAGAAGAAAGGAAAGAGGAAAAGTGAAACAACAGTGGAGAGTTTAGAACTGGATCAGGGCCTGCCGAACTCATCCCTGCGGAGTCCCGAGGAGTCCACTGAGTCTGCTGACAGCCAGGTATAGCTGTGACCGGGAGTCTGCTGGAGGTTATGGCTGCTGACAGGGTTCTGCTGACATGATCCTGATGCTCCTCAGTGCCTTTCTCTAGCCCACTACCCTATGCACAGACCAGGGATGGGCTTTTACTGTCTCGGTGGGTGAGCAGGTAGACCACAGGCTTTATTCTTAGCCTGAGCCTTATATTCATAATCTCCCTTTTTTGGTGGTGGTGGTAGTGGTAATGGCTTTCTGGAAGGTAACATGATATTAGGTTGCAGAGGAAGTTGATATAGAAAATTGCAGGCAAGGCTAAGTAAGGTTCAGGGTACCCATTTTGCCATGTAGGTAATGCATTCAGTGATCAGAATGTTGGGTCAGGGATACTTCATAATCCTAGATGGTGGAAAAGCTAGGGAGGTATTCATTATGCTGAAATAGTAAGAGAGGTTTGGCTAAATATGGAAACAAGTAGTTGCCCATCTGTTCAGTTCCCAGATATATGTTAAGGTATGCCATAACACTGATGGAGACTTTCCCCCTGTGTTGGGGCAATGTCTCTTAGACATGAATTCTAATATTTGAAAGCGTTATTTCCCGTGATATCCACAGCAGTGTATCTAAGCCACACTGCTACAAGAGGACCATTTAGAATAAGACCAACCTCCTGTACATTCCAAGATCATCTGGGTTCCTATTAGTTTTCCAGTGATCTTTACTATAAGAAGGTGTCAGCTTACCATAATATCGTGTTGTTCCTAAGTAGTAGTGTCTGGTGTAGGAGCAGAGGTCCCTTCACTGCCTGGAAGCAAGTGCTCTTAGGAACCCAGGTAGCTGGAAGTCCAAGCACATCAATTTAATGGGATTTGGCAGGGAATTAAGTGTTTGTAGGATTGTGATCTGTGTTTGGGGGTGGAAGAGAGGTTTTTTGGTGGAATCCCTCACATAAAGTTAGACATTACAGAGGTGCCATTGTAAAAAAAAGTGATGGGAAAATAGATGCTCAGGCGGTATCCTTTAGACAAAAAAAGAGTTAAGATTTTGCTTTTTGTTTTTTGAAGTTTAAATATTTGAGATTGTGCTAGCTGATGAATAGTTCCCTGAGGAGATTCTGCTGTTTAGATGTGAAAAGTTTATAGAGTTGAACTGTGTGCTTTTCTGTTTGAGGGAAGTTATTGTACATGTCTTTTATCCAAAAGATGCAAACTACTTAATTAGAGATGAGTTTTAGATGGTAACTTGCCATTTTGTCACACTTTAGACGTGTGAAAATCTCCCTGCATTTTAGGAGATTCTCAGACTAAGTCCTAATAAAATGGGTATTGATTAGTTTTTCAAACTGCATTCTTAGGAATTTGTCATAAAAGTATGGTGAATTCAAACAAACAGAAATGAATAAATAAAAACTGTCATCGTTGTCATAAAGTCTGACCTTCCAGCTGTTGCCGTAGTAGATCTCAAGGATGATGGGGTGACTGCCCATTCCTGTTTTTTGTGAATAAAAACCGGTTCCAGAAAGGAGGGAAAATACCACTGCTGTTGATGAATAAAACACATCTCCCTGGTCTCTGAGACTCCACCTTATTAGCGGATCACGGCAGTTTGGAGGTTGAACTTTTGTTCCCTTCCTCTCTCAGCTAAATCCCATTTTGAGTGAATTTGGTCCTTAAGGGAGTTGTGTTTAAGATTCCTTGTATAAGATGAGAAAGCTTTGCTGGGTGTGTAAGTAGAGATGAGGATATTCTTACACAGCTTTTTGCCTTGGACTCACAGAGCTGCTCTGATAGGTGTGTTTTTCCTGTAGAAACGACGTTCAGGTCGACAAGTGAAACGCAGAAAATACAACGAGGACCTCGACTTTAAAGTGGTGGATGATGACGGGGAAACGATCGCTGTTCTTGGAGCTGGCCGAACATCTGCACTCTCAGCTTCTACACTGGCTTGGCAGGCAGAGGTACAGCCGTCACACGAGGGGACTGGCCTTGGCTAAACAGTCATCATGGCCTCCTTGCTTGATGTTGTTGTTCTGTTTCTCATTGCTAAACATAAGTTAACATCATTTTAACAACCGCTGGTGACCCTTGAATGGCCTTTGACTACACTTAGAATAAAATTCAGACTCCTTAGTATGCTAATTGATTACACTCACTCTCTGTTTCACCAAATTCCCATTTCAGGTAAACAACTTTTTCTGTCAGTAGTCTCTGGCTAAAAGGCTAGCCATCTCTAATGAACTAACAGTTTTCCCCACCCACAGGCCTTTGCCTGTGCTAGTCCTGCTTGCAGTGCTTTCCATGTTTTACACCACTAGTTGCCAACATTTAAGTTTCACCTGAAATAGTATTTCCTTAGAGAGCCTTTCCTGCCTCTTTATCTAAAGTAGAAAGGCTTAGTGGGGCATGCCTGTGATCCTAGCACTCTAGAGGCTGAGGCAAGAAGATCACCATGAGTTCAAGGCCAGCCTGGGCTACATAATGAACTCAAGGCCAGCCTGAACTACACAGTGAGACCTTGTCAACAACAACAAAAATTAGAAACCTGCCTCTCATCCCAGTGATTCTAGGTTTAAATTTGTTTATTTCCTTCATAGAACTTAGCACAATTTGTAATTGTGTTTATTTATGCCTAATATCTGATCTTTTATTTCTTGGTCTGTGATTAGAATGTAAGAGTTTTTTTTCTTTTCCAATCATATTTTATTGGTACATTTTAGATATATATAATGATCACATTCATCATAAAGAATTTGTACCTATACATAATATACTTGTTTTTTTCCCATTCCCCTACCCTCCCTTTGACCCCTTCCTTCCTCCCCATTTACAAAAGCTTTGTTTCCATTTTTTCCTTCTTTTCTCATTTCTTTACTTTTCCCTTTCCTTTTCCCCTCCCCCTCCCACATTCTCCTCCCCATTTGAACATTTTCTGCCTGTTTCACAATAACAGGTCTACATTTTGGTCCTTATTTACACTTTCAGTTTCTCATACCAGAGAAACAATGTGGTATTTATACACATGTGTCTGATATATTTCACTTAAGAGTATGGTCTCAAGGTGCATCCATTTACCTAGAAATGTCTCAAGTTTATCCTTCTTTATGGCTGAGTAGTACTCCACGGCATAAAAACACAACTTTTTTATCCATTCTTGGATGATGGGCATTTGGGCTGTTTCCAGGATTTATGTGTTACAAACTGTATGACTATAAACATGGGTATGCATATGTTATGATGGAAACCATTACAAAGCAGCTCTGAGCAGAATTTAAAATTAATCATTTGGCTTTCTATGTTTACTTGTGAGTCTGTCCCAGTCCGAGGCCCCTTGTATGGAGATGGGCAGCAGATTCATAGTAAGTGAACCTCTATGAGTCACTGGTCCTTGCTGAGGCCTGCAGTGGCCTGTGATGCCTCAAAGGACAAGACAAGACCACAGCTAAGGAGACCTGGCCCCAACCCCAATTAACTAAATAGAGACTGTAGCTGCAGGCTCCATTCTGCTGCAGTAAATGTCAACCTAGAGATAAGGGAGTTCTCCTGATTGGCATAATTTGCTACGTGGGAAAGTTTTGAACTGACTTCCAAGGGCCTGCTCAGTTCCTGTGCTTTCCTCAGTACCACCTTCTTTTATTTGAAAACCAAATAAATACTGCCCAGAGAAGTTCTTTGTCTCAGCCCCCAGAGAATCTTGAATTCTGCTAGAGGATTTTGATCCTCTTGGAGCCCTAAAATCATACCACTTGTCTCTTATTTAGGCCTTTGCCGTCCACTCATTTGGGAGGTTGCAGGCCTGATCAGTCCGCAATAATATAGCTGTGGTATGATGCTCTTAATTCTTTTGGGAAGATACCAAGAAGAGAAACAGCTGGGTCAAATGGAACTTCTAGTCCTAGTTCTTTGGGGAATGTCTACACTGATTTCCACAGTGGTTATACCAGTCTGTGCTGGAGACTGTTTCTTTTCCACCAACAGTGGAGAAGGGTTCCTGTTTCCGCACAGCCTCGCCAGCATTTGTTATTGGTTGATTCACTAAAAGCTGGTCTTTCTGGGGTGAGATGGAATCTCAGCATTGTTTTAATTTACATCTCTTGAATGCCCAGTAGTGTTGAACATTTAAAAAATGTAAGAATCTTGTATGTGCTAAAAACTTTAAATTTAAAGATTAAAATCAAAAGAGCTAGTAACTACATTTGAAACTTTGGTTTGACCAATTTATATTGAGAATCAGCTACAAGGCTAGGTCTTGGGGTACAGGGATAAGTATCAAGATATGGTTCCTGCCTCTGCACAGCTTTGTCTAGGAGAAAGAACACATGGCTTTCTAATATCATGATAAGGGAAAAGCAGATTCAGAAGTATGTGCTAGATACAGTGGCCACACAAAGGGAGAACTGGAGAACAAAGATATAGGAAGGACATTCCTAGCATGAACTAAAGCCTCAGAACCTGAGTGGTTCTCACCATTGGATGAGTGTGACAGATGGCTAGTGTATGGTCTGAGGAGTTTTGGTGCTGAGAGGTAGAAAGAGTCACTTGGATATCAGCTAAGGTGTGTAGCCTTTAAACTGTTGGTTAAATAAGAAGTAGGAAGCATCAGTAGATTAAAGCAGAATGCCCATGTTTGCCTTTAACAATTCCCTTTGATACCAGTGTCAAGGAAGAGGATGGTAGAATTGGACTTCACAGGAAGAGCATTAAATGTTGAAAATGAGAAGGTCTGTGCTGAGGAGCTTATAGAGAAACGAAAGGGAAAAGCAACAGCAGGCTGTGTATGTAGGAAGGGCATCCCTGCCAGCAGCACGTTCTGGGACACAGGCTGTCTGTTGTTCTGGAGTCTCTTGCTGACTTGGCAGAGTCCACTGTGCATGTGGAGTGGCAGTCGCACAGATACCTGTCCCTCCTCAACTCTAGTGTGTCTCACAGAAGCCAGTACCAGCTTATCTTCTTCAGCCACCTTCCCTCCAGCTCACTGTGTGAGTGTTTTAATAGCATTTCACTCACCCTTTCACTGTCGTTGCATGGAAAGTAGCAAGGAGGAAGGGCTCATTGACTCTGTTTTAACAGTCAAGAAACTGAGGCACAGAATGATCCAGGTCAGAGTTACGTAGTGACTGTTAATCAGTAACTAGCATGTAAGGGTTGAATTCATATCTCTGCTTAAAAGGAATAATAATTTTATGTATTACCATTGCAGTACTTTTCAAACAAATAGTTCAAAACAGCTCTGGCAAGACTGCTGTGGGACGATAGGATTGTGTTGCTATATTATAGGTTTTCCTTCCTTGGGGATTTTATGGTTGATTTGATAGTTAAAACTCTATAAGGGATTTTATTTTCTCCTAGTAGCCACTTACTCTAAGCCATTAAGTGCATTTCAGATGTTGTTATGACTTCTCTCCTGGCACCTGAAGGGCAGCAGTAGCTGATCTGACAGAAATAATCTGGGAATTTTTATGTATCCTATCAAGGCTCCTTTTTCCTCGAAGGGTACAACAAAAAGAGTTTGTATATGGAAAAACATAAGATAGACTCTGAATTTACGTTAGTTATAGCTCAAAAAGTTGTATAAAATTTAAACAAAAAGAGAGGATACGTGGTTTTGGATTTGATGTTCAGATGTAGTCACGTGGATCTGAAGTGAGTGTAAGACCTATTTCATAGTTTCCTGTGGCAAGTCTTTCTTCCTTAATGTGATACCAGAATAATATGCCCAAAACATCAGAGAGAATTGTAGGTACTTCTCAGTCTCTTGCTCAAGAGTTGGAGGTGGTCCTAGATCAAACTCATGTGTGCTATATTAGATCAAAACCCTTGTCTGGTTGCATTAAATGTGTGCACACACTCTCCACTTTTATTCCCCTCCCCCTTATGGTTTTACTGTAAAAAGATAGGTGACTCCATGTTCCAGATTGGATATTCTTTGCTGTTCTCCTGTTGTCCTTGGGTTCCTTTTGTTTTTGTCTTCGTTGTCCTCTTTTATGAATCATTATTCTTTAAACTGAACTGCCTAAAACCACAGCTATTCCATGAAACCCAAGCTGTTCTCTCTTTCACTGAACTTATGACTGTCGCACCATTTAACATTTGCCCTGGGACAGTGTTATAGTTTGTGTCTGCATGTCCCCCAAATCCTCATGCAGTTATGAGGTGGGCTTCTAGGATTTGTGATTGATCCATGATCCATTGCTGGGGTTATGGGTTGTGAGTGCTACACCTGCCCTGGGGCAGGTAGTTTGCATACACTGTAAGGGAGAGAGAGAGGCTGCTTGCCGCCTTTCCTCCCTTTTGCTGTTGTTGCTTTTGCTATTGTTGCTTTTGCATTTTTCCGCCATCATGAGCCTTTGCCCTGTCATGTGCCACTCTGCCTTGGAGCCAGCCAAGTATGGAAACCTCCACAAACTGTAAGCTAAATAAACCTTTACTTCCTTGATTTTGGGCATTGGGTATTTTGCCTCAGCAACGGGAGAAAAATAACCAAGACAGACAAGCTCAGAAAAATATGTTTATTTTTCTCAAGTATATAGCTTTTGAAGCCAGTGCACACCACTTTTGAACCCTTCCTGATACGCAGTAAATACTTATTGATTTGAAAACTTGTTTGCTTCTTCCAAGACCCCTCCTTATGACTAGCTGAATAAAAGTAAGTGAAGTATTTAGTTGCTGATGGGGGTGAACAGTTTTTTAGATTTTCTGTATAGATGAAGTTTTTTAAATATATGAATCTCTGACAAGTGAATGGATTAAAATGGTCTTCTTTGAAGAGTAATTTGAGAAAATTCCAAGCAGTGAAGAACAGATGGTTTTTATGGAAGTGTGTTTGGCAGACAGACTTAGTTTATATCTGTGTGTATCTGTGTACACTGAGTGTTTATACACGCATGATCGTGCTTATGCACAGTCTCTGTTTGAGAAAAAAGATCCTGATTTCCCAATTTCTTTATGACTTTGATGTGTA